TGATATTTTAAATGCTTGCTACCACTAATTCTGGATTAAGGGGCTCGATTGCTTCTAGTTTACTTTAGCGCTGCAGTGCTCGAGTCCCGTCATCTGCAGAAATGCTCAGATGACTCTTCAGTCGTTGGGGGTATCAGACATGGTCAAGATGTTTTTTAGTAAAAAAAGAGACATTTTTTGGCACGGTGTGAAAACAATTATCTTATCTTGAACGTGAGCAAAGCAAAGGAGATGGTTGTGAATTTCAAGAGAGACAAGATTAGGCCAAAAACTATTTCCATTATGGAAGAAGAAGTGGATGTAACAGAGGAATATAAATATTTTGGGGTTCACTCAGACATCAGGCTGGGCTGGAGTTGCAACGAGAAGGGACCGAGCAGGCTGAGGCAGCTTAGATTCGTTAAGGTTTGCAGAAAGATGCTGCACATCTTCTATAAATCTGTTGTTGAGAGTGTTACTGTCGGGGTGGCAGCATCAGAACCAGGAACTTAAAAATGTTCTGCAACCTGATCAAGAAGGCTGGTCCTGCTCTGGATATGATTATGAAAAGAAGGTTTCTTCATGAAATTAAGAAAATTACAGACCACATTTGGACTGTTATACAACAACAGAGGGTCTTCAGTTAGAGGCTTCTGTATGTTTTGTTGTAACACAGACTGCTACAGGCGATCCTACAACAACATTTAATTTCTCTCTGGGATCAATAAAGTATTCTTGAATTTGAAATGTATTCTAACAAGATTGTATGCCAAAGCTTCCCAGACAACCACAGCTAAAATCTGCTATTCATTAGCAATAATTGCCTCAGGTTTGCAGTAAGAGTCAAAGTTACTAGCACGCTAACTCATTTAACTTGAACAAACTTTCTGAACCTTATAAGGGGTCAGAGCCTCAGGTGATGCATTTATTACTACAACATATTTAAACATAACCTAATTGTTCTCTGCTGCACAACATGTGACAATAACAGACAACTAAGCCACCACCTCTGTGTAATTCTCATGTTTAAAAATAAATTTGTTCATTAAATAGGTTGCATTTAAAAACTAGCATGCTTTAAAATAAATAAATAAATAAATAAATAAATATTGGCTAATACCCAAAACATATTTTGGGATGTATTAAATTTAAAATATCTAAGTGTAAAATCAGTGTTTAAAAAATGTATATAAAACGTGACCTCCTTTTCTTCTTTTGGGCTTTTATCTTCAGCAAACCTCAAGTCTGAAGGCCTAAAATTAGTAGGATACTAAAAGCAGAATACTTTACTTTTTCACTTTAGTATTTTTATTGTAACACTTGAATGGATCTTAGCTATATCCCGTAAAAAGAACATTTTATTTTACACTTTAAATATATGTCGAAACAACAAAACGCGGCTCTTTATTTGAGTCTAATTAAAGCTCCGGTCAACGCAGGCCTCCTCCCGCCGGAGGCAGCCGAGGCCGACTGCGCCACGGGGCGCTCGGCAAATCACTGCAACAGAGAGTGAGAGTCTCACTTTCTGGTCATTTTTCTATCTGATGGGTGGATTGATTTATTTATTTATTTATTTATTTATTTATTTATTTTAACCATTCAGGTCTGTAACGGGCAAAGCAGAGCCCGCGATGCCCGGCAGGCTCTACGTCCACCCGGACTCTCCCGCTACCGGAGCGCACTGGAGCCGCCAGCTTGTCTCCTTCCAGAAGCTCAAACTCACCAACAACCACCTGGACCCCTTCGGACACGTGAGTCAGCTCTCCTCCTGTCCGCCCACAAACTGCTCTGGATAATTTAAAGACAGAAATTTAAAGGTGATAAAATAAACAAACATTGCTAGAAAGATAACCGCGTATATAAAAAGAATCAACTCTTTAATGAACGTATTTTGTTGGCCAAATTAGTTAATTAGAATCTCCATTTAAAATATATTTATGTTCTTAATGTACAACGAAAACAACACATAATAGACCACATCAAGCGCGCTCTCTCTCTCTTTTTCTTTCTTTCTTCTTTTTTTTTTACATTATGAAAAAAATAAAAATAATAATAAAAAAAAAACATTTCCAGTATTCCCATTAGGGATAATGATTTCAATGAATCCAGAGTCCATTAGTTCATTGATGTTACCAGAGGAAATATTAAACCCTGTGGATAAACAAAAGGTTCCTGTACACAGAAAGACTGATCTAATTAAAGCCCGCTTGGTCAGTGTGCTGGAAATAGTTTGGACTACTTAATTCACTGTTACTACAGTTTGACATTACCGATTATTGTTTCAAAAATAGATTTAAAGAATCTGTAAAACCTTTTTATGATGCATAGCCTGAAAAGTTAGCTCAAATCTGAATGCACAGACTAGTTTTGAATTGTGTATGTTATGCAATAAGACAAATTATATTAATCCAGTAAAATAAAAAGTATTTGATGAGAATATGTGATTTGAATGTAGTCTATCACAATATAATGGATAAGTGTCAACAGTTAAAACCACTTCATGAACGATTAAGATGAATGTTTGTTAAAAAATAAATAAATAAATAAGTAAATAAATAAATAAATAAATAAATAAATAAATAAATAAATAAAATCACTTGGTCTTTTCTTAGCGTTCGTCGCTTTGATCCGACCACAAATGTATTTTAATCATCAACAGGAACAAAGAAATCTGAAAAACTGCAGAATCTCGACCATATGGGTTCAATCTCAATAAAGTCTGTCCAACCTCCAGCATCTACTAGAAGGATGACGGGTCTGTCAGTATCATTTTCTCCTTTCCTCCCGTGCAGATAATACTCAACTCCATGCACAAATACCAACCTCGTCTCCACATTGTCAAAGCGGATGAAAACAACGGCTTCGGCTCAAAGAACACGGCTTTCTGCACCCATGTGTTCCCAGAAACCGCCTTCATTGCCGTGACATCTTATCAAAACCACAAGGTAGGCCTTTCTCAAACATCACCAGTTATAGCAAACATTATAACTGGTGTTTAGATATAATCTGGTGTTGTATCACAAAGTGCATTCTCTACAAAGTTTAATTAGTGCTTCCTTGTGAACATAAATCCCTGAGTGTGTGCTAGTGTGCGTGTGTGTGTGTGTGTGTGTGTGGTGTGTGTGTGTGTGTGAGTGAGTGTGTGTATGTGTGTTCATGTGAGTGCTGGTCTCTTATGAGCTGTTTCTTTCCCTTGATCTTGAGTCCTTCAGTTTTTCTGACACCTACTAAAGACAGATTGCTGAAGCTTTGAGCCACAGGGTCGATACATTTTCATAAAGACTCACTTTGATCTGATTTCACTTTCACACAAAAAAGAAAGGGGGAAAAAAAACATTAAACTTGATAGCAATAAAAATGAACTTTCCAATATTATTTCTTACATCGTTTTTTTTAATTCAAACTTTAACTTAATCTCATAATTTAGTATGTCATTTGTAATGAATAGATAATGCAGTTCTAATAAAAAAATAACTAAATTAAAAAAACATAATCATAATTAAGCTGCCAACTTACAGTAAATGTTATATCAATTCAGCCAATGTTAAATTTGATTATTTTTATTGTATGGTTCAATGCAAGTCAATTGGTCAATTATTTAAAAAAAAAAATAAGAAAAGGTTAAGAAATTATTTATAATCTTTATCCAGCAGATATAGTTATAATTTATTTCTAAACAATTGTAAAAATTTGATTTATAAACAATACTGTTTGCTAATGTTAGCTACAAATGTTTTGTTGTGCATAAACTTTGTTACTTTTACTTCAGTTTGATTAAAATTGATTTTTTTAAAAAGAAAGTTTCATTATTTATTTGTATTTATTTATTTATTTATTTATTTATTTAAAGTTTTTATTTAATATATAAGCAATTGAGAAAATCAGAATAATTTGAAGCTCATTAAGGCACTCACACCAAGCAGCTTGTAATAATGTTTTATGTTCCAGTGCAGAAATCAGAGCTGTTGAGGCTAAACCTTGGCAGCGACCATCAGTCTTTTCAGCACTTCAAAGTTTGTTTGGACCTGATCTCTGGCCCACTTGTCCTGCTGAAGTTGCTCCGTAGCCAAAAGAAATCCTTCAAAACGCAGAAGGTTTACTTTCATGACATCACCAAGAAAAATCTGAAGCCTCGACTTCAAAGCTCAGAGCTTCGGACCTCTAAAAGCCCAGTGACTGTTTGGGTAAACAGTTTATTCTGCGTCAGCTGGTCAGCTGGCGAGGACGCTGCACTCTGAGCACCAACGGCCGAGGAATGCTTGGTTGTCCGGAGCTCAGACCGAGCTGCTTAAAGTTTCAATCACAGCCGTTAGGGACGCATGTTTAGGTTTGGGTGAATCCACAACACTGTGTTTTGTCTACCTTCTTTGACTTCTGTCCTATTTGAACGCTTATGCTCTTGGCTTTCCGCACTCAGATCACGCAGTTGAAGATAGAAAATAATCCATTTGCCAAGGGCTTCAGAGGCAGTGACGACAATGAGCTGCATCGCATGGCCAAGCTGCAAGGGTGAGTGTTTACCATTTGTTTTCGCTTCTGCGTGTTTGTAGGCATTTCTAAGAGTTAAATCCTTTTTGTTTGTCTCCATTTTAAGTCATAGGTGATGCTGTGCATGTTGTGATTGCATGCATATGGCATAGCCAAGTGGTTTGAAAAGGTTTGAGCTTTTGTCACCTGAAGGTTGAACTCTGACTCAACGGCCAGTGAAAACACTGGATTGATAAACGTATGACATCACATTGCTGCAGGTCTATTAGGCCTGTCGCTGCTGATTGGCTGACGACGGCCCTGCATGGTGTGAGATTGTGTGCCGAGCTAATCTCTGTTCGAGTCGCATAGACATTTCAGAGACTTTAGTGAGCTGTTACTGATCGGAGGGAGAAGAAAACCCGGTAGAGGGGCGAGGGAGGGAGATGCAGCACCCATGTTTTCGTGTTGTTGAGGAGAGGAGAGTCTATCTGAAGTGACACATGGATGGATGTTTATTTTTAGAGCGGTGAATTATCTCACAAGAGCATTGGCTGAGCCTGTGTATGTGCGTGCATAGAGTGTGTGTGTGTGAGCAGGAGTCAGGGAGATGTGGCCCGCTGTCTCCTACATACCACAGAGTTCACACAGAGGGCAGCGAGTGCAGGGGGGGAAGAAAATCACAGCTGAAAGGTTGTGGAACGACTGAATGGGACGGAGAGAAAATAACAACAAAACGGACGTATTAAAGAAAATTAAATGTTATAAGGACAAATGCATCTAATCCCAGAGTCCCCCTCTTCTTTTAATCTTGCAGCAAAGATTACCCCGTCATTCCTCGCAGTACTGTCCGACAGAAAGCCTGCTCTGCTGGGAGTCCCTTCAGTGGGGAGGGCCGAGGTCTCCGGGGGTCCCCTGACGCCATCGGCTCCCCTTTCAGCTGCGAGAACGGTTTGAGCTGCGGCAGTCCTCAGGAGCTGCTGAGCGCCCCGCCTGTTCACTACGCCCATCCTCACCCACACCTGCAGCCTGCCCAGCAGCTGCAGGGCTACAGCTACAGCAAGAGGAAAGGTGGATGCCGCGTTTGCACTACAGTCTTCACAGAAAGGCCTGCTAACTTATAAAGCTAAATATGAGAAAATTACATAATCTAGTGTTCCATATTTTTAATGATCAGGTCAGTTTTAAACAAAACTCTTTTTATTCTGTTTTTTTTTAACTGCATCTGAACGCACATCAGTGGTTAACAAAGACGCACAAATATAGCTGACAAACAGATTTATATTAATTTGCCCCATTCCTTGCCCTTACTTAGTGTCTGCAAATCTAATTAGCATCAGATTTACAAGGACAGCAGCTGAATGAATAAATAAATAAGTTATTTTCATGTGAACCCATTTGCGCTCTCGATGGATACTCAGACATTATAATCAAGAGCAGTAAAAAAAGAAAATTAAAGACCTCTTCAGTAGACCGCATATTTAGTTTAAAAAAATGACATCCTCTCATTCCTTCAATGAGATGTGAATAATTTCAGTTTGAATTCAGACTTTGGATGCATTCATTTAGTTTTAGCTAGCTGTCACAGTTCTCATTGAAAGACGTGTAAATGTTCTTTCATCAATGGCAGTGGTGTAATTTCACAAAAAAAAAAACTTTTGAAAAATTCACTTTTTAATTTTAGTACCTTCATTTGGGGAAAATATCTTAGATTCAGAAGGTTGATGCCCACAAAATCTGCTTATTTAAATGTATCCAGGCCATTTCTCTTTTTTTACATTTACACTTTTTCAAAGGTGATCAGAGTTTCTTCAAACATTGAACTACTTAGAGTAAATAATCAAGTCATGTTTTTGTGTTTCCCTGGGGAACAAATACCTGGTGACACACATCAGAAGCTCAATTATTTTTGCCACCAGCTAATAAGCTAAATGAGGAGCCAAGTTTGTCTTGGCACCACACGCAGTGAGCACCGTGACGAGGGAAGAGAGACATCTTTAGAGCTCACATATGGAGGCTGACTACAGAGAGAAGCATCCTGGGTTTACCAAGCCTTCACAGCAAAACCTGGGCACATAATGGCAGGAAAATGGTTTCTGGATCCTACCATCACAAACATAAACATGTAAAATTTGCTACGCTCTATTAGGACTGTAAGTGCAACTGTGTGTTTTGAATCAACTTGCAGTACCAAACACCCCAGTTTGGTTAGGAGCACAGCCCTGTTGGCAAACTGAGGTTGTGGCGCTGGTGGTTTTGTGAAAAACTATTTCCTACCATCAGTTTTTCCGCCTCTCAATAAATGGACACAGATTAAAGGCTGGAATTTTCTTTTTTTCTCCAGTATGAGACAGTGCTAAAGGCATGTTTTTAATACTACTGTCTGACTCTTTAAAAGGATGCCGATTAATGTGGTAAAACTGTTTTTCTGCATAGAAGTACATACTATATACAGTTGATTACATCTATGAAATAACATCATGTTTGCAGTTTTGCCAATAAGTTGGGAACATTGGTGAAATCCACAATTTTACATTAAGAATGGATTCATCTTTTTGACTCGTGGCCCTTAATGTAATTTATCCCGAATCTGCCAAACCATAAAATCTATCTGCTGTGCAATAATTATTTTCAACTCCTCAGCTTAAAGCTGCAGTATGTAGCTTTCATAGAAAATAGGTGGAGGTGCTTGATATTTTCACAGACTATCTGTCTCCATACTGTCACAACATGGTGACAGTTTTAATAAATATATATAGCTATATTAAAAAAACATAGAAGTTACATACTGCAGCTTTACGTCAGGAGTTCTGATGTTCATCCTTTGTGTCCTAAATGCTGAATGAAGCCGATATTTTTCTCTTTCTCTCTGCAGCAGAGGAGAACTGCTCTCCAAGGAACCACCAGCCTCCATACAAGAAACCCTTCACTGGTGGTTCACTAAGCGAGGAGGAGTCCTACTACCACCCCTCCTCCTATCCTGCCCCTCCACCCGGTTTGTCAAACCTTCCCACTCTTGGTCTCACTGACTCCCCCTACAGCTCAGACATGGGACAGCGTCAGGCATGCATGTTTGCCGGCTCAGAGCCCAGAATGGATGAATTCAACTGCACATCCTGGTCGTACACCTGCCCGCTCCCTACCGCCATGACCCCCGTGGAACCCTACCCGCCTTACACTCCTCATCCCCCCTACAGCTCCAGCCCCCAGGGCTCTAGACTAAGTGCGCTGGCCCATCAGAGTTCTCCGTCGCTGGGAGAGCACATCCCACACGATCCCTACCAGAGCCAGAGCTCCGGACCTCGATCGCAGAGCTCCCAGAGCGTTCCCAGCAGACAGCTTGGCTCTCCTCTCAGAGAGTTTCCCCGCTACACGCCCAACCTGTCGCCGCCTCTCTATCACACGCTAGACACCCACACACACATCAGGTGTGGAGTCCCAGAATGGAGTGCAGCCTCCTAACCAAACCATAAAGACAGATTCACCATAAACTCCCTGCTCTCCTTGGAGATGCTGCACTGAACGAACTGAGATACTTTTTGTAAAGTTGTTGTGAATTTTGTGACGTTGTGCTGTGTAAGTCATGTTCCTCCTCTCTGCTAGAAGGAGCAGCAAATTATTAAGGACCTAACATAAAGGACATTAGTGAAATGTAGCCTCTTCCAGGCAGCCTGGTGATCAGTGACGTTGTTATCTTTGCGTCTATTTGAAGCTCATTCTAACAATTGCACTGTGATTCATTTCTTAAGGCCAGACCCCCTGAATGGCACTTGCCTGTTTCTCTCTCAACATCTGCTACTTTATGCATGGTGAAGGATGTGAATTGTGCACACTGTCAGTCAGACAGCAACATTTATCCACCAATGTAATCTCAGTTATCACAACACAGCCCAGGGCGGACTTGTCTCTCTTGTTAGTGGAGCAAAGTGCTGCTCCGTGCTCAGTCTCGGCGAAGGAGAAAAGGCACTGCGTTGTCCAAATGTGTGCTAGTGTACATGCAAACCCGGTGTCAGCTCAGCTAAAGGATGCTCCGAGTTTAATTTCCAATGAGACAGCCAGCGATAGCTGCAGGCTCCCCTTTGCAGAGATAAACACTTTGTTTAGATCGCGCTACAGGCTGAAAGACCTGTAAACACTGCTTCCATTGCATTCTGGGTAAATGCACAAGTCAGCGTCACGCAGCTGTCACTGGTGTCCTCTCAGTCACCCCCCAACTGACCAATCAGCATCCTCTGTTCACAGAGTAGCAGCAAATGAACACCAAGCTTATATTTATGCTCAGCTGACCGCAGAGGTTTATGCGTGTGTGTGTGCGTGCGTGTGTGTGTGTGTGTGTGTGTGGGTATGTGTGTGTGTGTGTGTTGGCCCTGTTTTGTTTGCTTGCGCATTATTCATGAATCTAATGCTGATTTCTGACACATGAGGATTGCTCAGCAGAAGAAAAGAAGGAGAAATGATGCTCTGCATATGAAAATGCTTTGCTTTTGATCGGAATTGGTCTCCGCCCTATTCACACACAATTATTCCAACATTTGCTTTGATTAGATTTCAGTACGTTTCCCTTGTAGCTCACTGTAAACATTCGTATCCTTTTCCTGACAGAAAGCCTGGTTTTATGTTTGTGTCCTGAAGCAGTTTTCATTTCTCTGACCGGGTGTTTTAACATGCAGTAACCTGTTACAAGGTGCTCCAACATGACAACAGCCTCATCATTCCTTAATATGTGTTTGCACTCCCGTCTGCCACTTTATTTGGTGCACTTGTTCAGTTCTGTTTACAAATAAAAATAGTGAATTAGCCTTTAAGTATCTGAAGTTGAAATTGAGGCTGCTGGTGGGGGCATGGTGGTGTTGGGAATATTGCCTTGTCTTTTGGGCCTCATAATGCCAACTGCAGCCTACCCAAATGTTGTTGCTGATCATGTTCTTCCCTTTATGTCAACCTGCAGCTAGATAACACCCATGTTGAGCTCAAATCATCTCAGTTTGGCGAAGGCATTGACGGTGGTAGGACTTTGTTCTGCCACTGTAGGACAAATGGTGGGCAACTGTAACCTTGTGTCCTTGGGGAAGGCACTTCACCCACCTGGCCTGGAGGTGGTGGTCAGAGGGCACATTGATTGGGGTGCATGGCAGCCTCACTTCTGTCAGTCTTCCCCAGGGCAGCTGTGGCTACAATGCAGCTCATTACCATCGGTCTGTGAATGAATTGGTGAATGACTGAATGTAGTGTGAAGAGCTTTGGAGTCCTCTGGACTTGATAAAGTACAGGCCATCTACCCAAAATGTCTGAGGAATGTTCCTGACACCTTGTTGAATCTTTGTCACAAACAATTATGGGAGATCTGAAGCCATCAGAAGGTCAAGTCTAATCTTCTATTAGCGCAGTGTACCTAATAAAGTGGCCGGTGAGTGTGTCTGCGTGTCTGCGTGTCTGCGTGTGTGTACGTTTGTGTGTGTATAAAAATGAGATGTTTTAGGGTGTGTGTGTGTTTTTTTTTTTTTTTTTTTTTCGTTCGTTGTTTATAATAGTTTTTTTTGTCCCCTGTTTTGAA